CGAGGGGAAAGGAGGGGGGGTGGGGGGGAGGGAAGAGACTGGACAATAATCGTGCACCTATGGATGAGGGCAGTGGGTGGGGAGTGAGGGCGGAGGGTGGGGTGGGAACTGGGTGGAGGGGAGTTATGTTGGGAAAAAAGAGTAACTAATGTAATAATCTGAACAATAAAGATTTAATTAAAATAAATAAATAAAAAAGAAAAGAAAATTTTACTTCTAATCATTTAAGATCCATTAGTTTAACATGGGAATTTAAAACAACTGAAAAACCTTTCCTGTTTACATTTTATTTATGAAACTTTCATGATAAAAACAATTTCTTGGTAAGACACCCACACACCTATTTCTGCCTGTGTAGCATAGGTGAATGGCCAGGTTATACAGCTATTTCTATCTTCAGCAGAGCAGGAACCACACCCAGTGCTAAAAGCAAGCTTTGCAGCGTTACCACCCTAGACAAACTTACACCCTGTTGTTAAGCTGTTTGGCTCCATTGCTTGGACCAGGCACCGGGTCCTCAGGTTTGCATACAGGATTGAAGTTGAGACTTTTCTGCACAGTGGACTGCTTGCTGTACAGCTGATAGGGAATGTAGGACAGGAGTCGTCCAGCTTTGATGCTGCAACAAAAAGTAATAGCAACGTAAGAGTTCAGTAGTTGGGGGAAATGAGCTTTCCATGAAAAAGCAATGTTCTTAACGATGGGAGTATTTTCACTAGCAAGCCATCTTTCCTATTAGTCAATTCTAATATACTTTGAAGAATGACATTCCATCCATGAAAAGACACACATCGGAGATTTTAAAAATCAGTAGCCAACAATCCTATCTGAGGCAAAACAACAACTACAGAGTAAGATGAGAAAAGCACGAGTTGGATTAGCTAATATTTTTATCTTGATTTTAACATTGTCCACAATTTCCCCTCAAATAATTGTACAATCATCAATACTTTCTCAAATCCCATCTCAATTCCCAGAATAAGTAAATTAGATGAGGATTCCCAATTTCCACAATTCATGTTAGGTCTATTAAATGTGAAAAATTCTAAAAGAGCCCTGGCCGGCATGGCTCAGTGGTTAGAGTGTCAGCCTACGCACCAAGGATCTCCCGGTACGATTTCTGGTTAAGGGCACAAACCTGAGTTGCAGGTTTGCTCCCTGTCTCCAGGTGGGCATGTGCAGGAGGCAGCCCATCCATGTGTCTCTCTCACATTGACATCCCCTTCCCACCATCCCTTCCCCAAACCTCTCCCTTCCACTCTCTCTAAAAAAAAAAAAAAAAAAATCAATGGAAAAAATATTCTCTCTGTGGGTGAGGATAAAAAAAGGGACAAAATCAAAATGAAGGACCTCAACTTTAATAGTAATAAAGAATTTATACTATTTTAATGGAAGAGTGACTGAGACAAGGCCACTTGAGGATATGAACTCTATGAGGGCAGAAGCTATGTGTAATATCCTCTTCCAAATGTTCATTACCTACTAAACATAACCAGTAAAAACCAGAGTAACACCAGTATTATTATAATACTGGGTAGTACTAGCACATTAACTGACACTTCCAAACAACTATACTTTTGTTCTGCATAACTAAAACTAATTTGATTGCCATCTTAAAATCTGATTTTTAATAAATTATTGAATTATTAAAATAAATTAAATTATATATGGTTACTATACCATTTAAAAATTTTCAATTTAAAATAGCCAACCAATAAATATACTGTACTTACGCTAACATCCAAATTTTACAACAGGTCTTTAATTATCAGAAAATGTTTCTAGAAACATTTCTGGCTTTAAACCTAAAATGAATACTAACAAAGTCATATTTTAATTATTTAGAAAAAAATTAATAAGTAACAGACTAAATATACTTTATTATGTCATGAATCCAAGAGCTTGACATCTAATTTTCTCAAAGGACACTACAAAACATGTAAGAAATGACTGAATTAGCTAACAAAAAAATAATTTAAAATACTGAGTCAACTCCGAACATAGGAAAAGGTGATGATATATGCTAAAAATGAACTACAAAATGTTAGTCTACATGTCCTTTATGTAATTATATCAATATGTATCTAGTAATTCTACCTAAAGCACCTACTGTATCCAAATGCTATAAGGACTACATTATGATGGGAAAGAACATACCAGAGACATTTCAATTTTCATTTACCTAAATACTTATTATCAGGCTAAGTTACTTTTGTTTTATTTTTTTAATTTACTTTTATCAAGTTTAAAGATTTCATCCAAATATCAGAATCAAAATCCTAAAATTAGGTCATGTATTAAATTACTATTCTTTTTTTATAAGCTGTTATATTATTGTTTTATTTTATTTTATAAATCTTTATTGTTAAAAGTATTACATATGTCCCGCTTTTTTTCTCCACTGACCCCCTCCAGTCTGCCCCCACCCCCCTTAATTTACTATTCTTTATCAAACTTTTTGCTTTCTTTAACAGTTGGTCTCAACTGTTTATGGATCGCTCTTCTTATAATATTATGTATTTCACCTGCTTCCCCCACGCCAGATGTAGAGGTACTTAATACGTGAAGTAGAACCCTAACCTTAGCCTCCAACTTTTCCTTACATATAGCTGTAACTAAGGGATAAGTAGAGAGTGGGCACTCAACCACTGAGCCACATCAGCCAGGCTTCTTTGAGGAGTCTTAATTTTTTTTTTTAATTTGAGGAGTCTTAATTCTTGCTTTGTCCTATAGCCCAACCCCACTGAAGTTATCTCTAAAACAGAACTTCGTATCTAATAGTTCTCGAAATCATTTCCTATTTCTATCAACCGACAATGACTTTACACTGACAGTTATACCCAGATTTGGGGAAATTTTACAAAAATTAATATACAACAAAATTATCACTACATAATTGCTATTCTGAACTTTTTCTTCTAGCTTATAGTATCAGCACTTTCTTTATATGAAACAATTATGCACATCAAATGTGTTTATGGTTCCAGTCAATGTCTCTGTTGCCCTGGATTACAGACACAGTATCTAACACTTGTCTACACACCCACCCATGGATTCAGGCTTCTGTCTTCTTCCTTATTCAAAAATGGATTTAAAGCAAGAAAGGATCTAATGATGTGCTAAGGAAAAACTAAGCTGCCTTTGCCCATTCCGCCATTAAACAAAAATCATCTTTATGCACCAAAAATAAAATTCCCTTTGCCCCACACCCACTAAACTTCCCAACTCTTCACTAAGACACTATGAGCTAAGAAAAGGAAATAAACAGGTATAAAAATATGTATAAGATTTCTTGCCCTTACACAGATACTGAAAGTTAGGCTATTCATTCTTTTTTTGGGGGGTGGGGGGGGAGCTAATCATTTTTTAGCTCCTAAGGACTGAGAATACATATTTAATAAAATGTTACCTACAACAAGTCAGTGTGGTGTAGTCTGAAATGTGTGTGTTGGTTTGTTAGCCAAATAAAAATAATATTAGAAGAATTCTGTAGTGCTATGAGAGAATAATGTAAATGACACTAAGATTAAATTTTTAAAAAAGCCAAATCTACACCAGAAACTAGAGTCATGCACATTTTCTATAAAGAATAAATTGAAGCAAGACACAAAACCACAAGGAAAATGAAAATATCATGAAAGATAATGTTGCAATCAAGTTTTATTTGAGTTTAAATAAGCACTCTGATATTTACATTGAATATAATTAGAAACAAAGTTTTAGCCCATACGAAGTATGAGATCTTTGGAGCCTCTGCGTATAAGACAGATGTGCTAACATATCAGAATTTGGGAGCTTAAAAATAAAGGACAAATTCTACTGAGCATCAGTCACTCCCACTAGAAGGGGTATGAACTGGAACAATGGAGATGACACTCTCCACTCACAACAGAGCCATGAGAACCTAACCACAGGAGGGAGGCAGGTTTCCATGCTAAAAAGACACAAGATACAATAAGCAACAACAAAAACTACATTGACCTGCAATGACTTAGGACAATGCTTTTAAACTGTGTTCCACGGGACTCACTGCTTAGTGAGGAGCGGGGTGGATGACAGCAGCTTTTCATGAACTATTCCGAACTTCAAATCTCAATATAAAACTGTCTGAAGAAAAGGAACAGGCAAAATTTTGAAAATCACTGACTTATACTATATGTAAACAAGTGTGGGATTTTCAAGGCAGAAGCTTCAGTAAAATAATCTCACATCTTACATTCATGCACACAGGCGTCTCATTAAGGGACTTTCCAGCCCCTTAGCAGTCCCGGCTCTATAATCATGTGTATGTACATTGACTCAGGTTTCATGATACAGACACAGAAACCAGGGAATTCTAATCAAAGCCCAGTAGTCACCCCACACACTTAGAAGTGGTAGCTGCTATTTAAACTGCCCAAACTAAAAACAAGAAAGCTAATTATAGACGAGAATATCATGTAGCAGCCATTAAATAGCTAATACAATGTTTAAACTTTTAAGTATAATAAAATATCATTAAAACACCACCAAGGAGTAGTCCTGGCTGGGTAGTTCAGTTAATTAGTGTGTCATCCGATACACCCAAGTTGAGGGTTTGATTCCCGGTCAGAGCACATACAAGATACAAGAAGCAACCAATTAGTGCATAAATAAGTGGAACAGCAAAACAATGTTTCCTTCCCTCCCTCTCTCTCTCCCCCGTCCCTCCCTCTAAAGTCAATAAATAAAATAAATACACCAACACTGAGGGGGGAAAGA